AAACTATCTTTAAAAGTTATCTGATGCATTCCTGACACAAGAAGCACAAAAGTGAGTTTTTTAAAAAAAGTTGCACATTCATTAGTCAGACTGCACATTTGGGAGATGAAGGTAGTACCCAAGCCAACTCTGAAGGCATGAAGCAGTGAAAGAACAACACCCATCCGAATCTACATAAGATTGAAATAACAGATGTGATTTCCTAATTTCAAGGAGGTAGGTAAAAAGAGTATAAAAAACCCACAGAAGTTAGCCCCCTACTCACACCCTCTGCTACTCTTCTTCAACAAGAACTCTTCAACTCATCAGATCCTGTTCATCTCTGCAAGCAAGCTATCACAAACAGATGATTTAAAACTTATTTTTTTAATATACAATTGCTACTGTAACTTCAAATATTAACAAGGTGCCTTGTTAATCACGAAGGTGGCATCTACACAGCAGGGCTTAACTAAAAATAATCTACACAAATTGAGCTACATCAATTGCATAGTTTATTTTGAAATAGCTTATTTGGAAATTGGGAGTGTTTACACAGCACTTATTTCAAAATAGATCACTCTTCCTCCGACTTCCCTTACTCCTTGCACAATGAGGGTTACAGGAGTTGGAGTAAGTCCTCCAGCTTGACAGTATTTCAACATTATTTTGAAATAACTGCCTGCTGTGTAAACGTGGACTAAGTTATTTTGAAATAATGCTAGTTATTTTGAAATAATGTTGCTGTGTAGACGTACTCCAAGTGATTAGCACAGTGGTTCTGAATCAGAAATAAACATACCCCTGGGGGTGCATAGCACTGTTCCCTATAAACTGTGTGCTGGTGTGGCCACTCCAGAGAGATTCCTATACCAGCCAGAAGATTAGCAGAGCTAGATTTGTGTTTTCCCTGATGGTGCACATTTGCATGTGTCTCAGTGCACATAAAAAATTATTCTGCACATGGATAGAAAAAATCCACATATGGATGAAAAAGATTAGCGGGAACATTGGTGCATAGCAGTCTTCTAGGGGTACATCAGCTCATCTAGGTATTTGCTTAGCGCCAAAAAAGCACAAGCAAAGTTAGTGAAAACTGAAGTTTCATACAGTGACTTGCTTATACTATTCTCTGTACTATACAATGAAATGTAAATACAATGTTCATATTACAGTTGATTTATTGTATAATTATATGGTAAAAATAAGAAAGTAAACAAATTTTCAGAAATAGTGTACTGTGGCAGGAAGGTACAGAGTAGCTTTATGTGAGGTGAAATTTGGGGTAGAAAAGACAAGTCAGACTCCTTAAAGGAGTACAGTAGTCCAGAAAAGACTGAGAAACACTTAATATTTGTTACTGGCCCGTCTCAAGGACAGCTCTTTATATGGCTTCTTCTAAGTAACTGACTTAAAATATTTTCTTCAGTTTCATAGGATTTAGTTAAGATTACTTATTTTGTCCATTTAAAAAAAATTAAAACAAAATTAATGGAGATTGCCTATCTCCTAGAACTGGAAGGAACCTTGAAAGGTCATTGAGTCCAGTTCCCTGCCTTCACAGCAGGACCAAGTACCATCCCTGACAATTTTTGCCCCAAATCTCTAAATGGCCTCCTCAAGGATTGAACTCACAACCCTGGATTTAACAGGCCAATGCTCAAACCACTGAGCTATCCCTCCCCCCAGGGGAGGGATATAAACATCATTATTAATTATTATTATTAATAATTAATAATAATGCCCTTTCAATACTTTTGCCCAATCATAAGCAACCTTTAAGTATCTAATTGGAAACTATGACTAGAATTACAATAATTTTGGGAAACACTATACTTGGATCTTAATTTACCAAAGGGAAAGTAATTTTCAGAGGTGTTCACTCTGTTGGGTGTAACGTCTGCTACAAGACCTCCACAGAGAAACATACAGACGAGATTACAACGGAGGTAACCAGCTTATCATTTGTGTTCAGTCACTCATGCTGTTTAATGTCGTCTTTTCCTTTCTTTGCTATTAAAATAACCCTTGCTGATAATTGTGATGATTTTATTTGCTCTTAATCATGGTGTCCCCTAGGAAACATTAAAGAGCCCTTGTGACTAAAGCAGCGGGAGCTACGCCCTGGAGTTGGCAGCAAGAGAAATCACTAGTAAGAGCTAGCCTATCATTTCTTGTTTCTTTTAGTGATTTTTTTTAATTCCTTGGTGTCCAGCAATTTAAAATGATCCCCTTCTATCACATAGGAGGGGCACACACCTACTAAGGCACATCCGGGCTCTTAGGGAAGTTCAGTGCCTTGTGAGTCTCCTAAGGCTTCTAGTATGGGTAGACTTACAAGCATGGAAATTCACAGTTAAGATAGTTGAATTGCCATAATTTTGCTCCCACAAAAAAACCACTGAATGTCTGGGAGGATGCACTTATACAGACAGAACTGATTTTTTATTATTCTGGGTTGGCTATCTACTGAACTACAGAATTAGAACAGTCTACAAGCATTAAAAGCATTAAAATGAAAAGAAAATTGTTTAATGGGGTTCATGAGGGTAAAGCTTGGAGAAATGGTATGAAACTGAGCAAAGACAAATTTTTTCTGAAGGCTAGTAGGAAAATATTTGTACAAAACTCCATTGGACTATGAAAGAATCCGTCAGTGAATGTGGAGGATGACTTGGCACTGGAGTATTTCAAAATGGACAGAATTTTGCCTAATACAATGCAAGTCCTCTCATATCCATGATTTTACATGGAGAACTTTTGACGGTTTCTACAGAGACCATTTTCATCTATCTCAAGAGAAAAGGGAGAGAGAGGGTACTGGCATAAAGAAATTTGAAGTAGTAGTTTGAGCATCACAGAAAAGTTATGTTTTGAAGAGCTTCATTTAATGATGGTACAAGAAGAACTGTTGCTAAAACTGGTCAAAAAAGGTAAAACACTGGGTCCCATGACAAGTAATCAAATTCAAATGAATGAAAGAAATTCAGAACTCTCAACACACATTTTAAGTTCTTTATAAATATGCTGCTGATCTGAATTAAACTGAATGCTATTTGACAAGCTACCAGAGGAAATCAGTACAAATCCAGAGTCTGACTATCTTTAGGAAACATTGGAAGGCCTTCCTCTTTAAGAAGCTTTTTAATTATGTGCGATGCTTTCAATTAAAATAATCCTTTTATTCCTAAATGCTTAGTAACTGCTCTCCCCAAAGGAAAATCCTACCACAAAAAGAGTTTTGATCCTGTGAAAGGAGAGATACCAATGACACATGAAGTCCACTAGGGACTTCCTATTGCTAGTGATTGGACATGGAAGACACTCAGAAACACAAGCGATGGGTGAATATAAAATGCTAAAATAGATTTCATTAGCTAAGAAATGTATTCACAGGACCCTCACATTCATAACAACATTAAGGGAAAAGAAAAATGGCATTTTTTCCACTAGGCTTTTCAGATTTGACTGAGTTCTGTCAGTCATTTTCATGGTTTGTTTTGACTGCTGACTGCTTCCGGGAAAGTTAGAATCATAAGTATGTGTACTGTATTTGAATGGATGTTTGGGCACTTCAAACCTCTAGTTGAAGTTTGATCTTTGGGAACATACCAGAATACTTAGGTTTGCTCTTTTCCTTTTAACAGTATTACATAGAAGAATTGTGGAGAATTTTCCCCAATTTTCAATGCCAACGTATCTTCATTGCTGGTGATTGTACAAATCTGAAATCTGTTTTACAACTGATTCAGCGTTATCATTTTTCTTTGAATATTATATTTACTTTCAAATAATAAAAAAACAAGCTGGTGCACAAATTAAGGGAGAGGAATAGTAAAAGACACCAGTGTTAAAGTCTACCTCTCCCACCCTGACATGGTACGGCCACAATTATTATCCAGTTTCTCATAAAGAGACACCAGGTACAAATGCAGTAGTTGTTCTGACTTTTCTATAATCCCTTCTACTGAAGCATGATGCCAGTTTACTTGATTCTCCCCATGCGGATGGTAAAGTATACTCTGAATGCAGCACTGCCTTTCAATCAATTCAAGTTCAGCTGCTGTATTACTGCAATGAGTCAGGCAGACTGCCAGCTACAGCTATGTCAGGATGGTTTTGATAGCAGAGTTACCACAAAAGTGCTTCTGAAACACCAGCTTGAAAATCATCTGCAGAAGAGGCTGGAGGAAAATGCTGCTAGATATGTTAGGGCAAAGCAGCAGGGCCGACAGCCTTGCTGGGCCCTTAACCATTGTGTATGCTTGTGGGGGGAAGGGGCCTGTTCCGTGCCACTGGAAGGGGTGTGACCTCGGGGCAAAGGGGCGGGGCTGGAGCTAGGCAATTTTCAGTGATGTTAGAGTGCACGGCGTGGTGCTCTGGCAGTAATTTAAAAGGCCCAAGTATCCAACTGCTGCCACTGTTGCAGTAGCAGTGGAGACTGGGAGCTCCTGGCATTTTTGTATGACCAGGCCTTGGAGCAGTTGCCCCCTTTGCCCCCTCCATCATTGGTGGGCCTAGGGCAAAGGAAACTTGTGCTTGCTAAGTATCATTAAAAGCTATATCCACCCACATACACATGGAAGATAGCAGGACACATTTTCAAGCTGTTTTGCAGAGGCTGTAACATCAAGCAAGAATTTGGGAATGTATTATAGTATTTTTAGAGGTAACTTCCATTCAAAGTAGCATAGAATTACAGCTCTCATTCAAGAAATCACTTAAGTATGTTCTTGAGTCCATCCCTATCCAGGAAAAACAAGAAAGCACGTGCTTCGATGCTGTCCTGAACAGAGATGATTTTCTGAATACATACAGTTTAATAAAAAAGATATCCATCAATTATATAAATGTATGGTAATGACAAGTTTTTCCCACAGCAGCTAATATTTTATGATTTGTCTTTTACTATTGATCACAATTTTGGTTATTTAACATGTTTTCTCTCCTTTGGTAATGACCAATCATTTCTACAGACATAAAATTATCTATTCATACAGATATATATAGATATATATTACCTGAAACTGTACTTTTTGGTTAACGTGAGACACAGTAAACTGTTTCAGGAAGCGTTCATCTTCACTCCAAAACAGGCGGATGTCAGGGATATCATAGAGGATCATAGCCAGCCTTTCTAATCCTAGGCCAAATGCCCAGCCAATTTTCTCCTCAGCTCCAGCTGCAATAAATAAAGATAAAAATCCAAGGGCTTAAGTGTGGCACATGAAAAATTGCTAATACAACACTCATCTCTTTTCCAAGGAAGACACTAAAGAAGCATGACAGGTAAAAAGTCAGCAAGTAATTGTCAGAGGATGGAGCTAAAGCTTGATCTTCATCCAATCAAAGTCAGTGGCAAATGTGAACAAGAAAGCATGATCAAGTTCAATAGTAAGCAAGGCTAGTGACAAGGAAGATTTGCTCCCATGGCTCTCTGGCTGCAGTTAGATTTTGAAAACTCAATTAACAGCACTTTCTGTTACTCGTCTATTGTGCTTATAGGTTAAAAACCCACATTTTATTCAATTATGTTGTATAATACATAAAAAATTGGCTTACAATCCAAAGCATTTTAGTTGGGCTTACAGATTATGCCAGTGTAGAATTAACATGATCACTAGCATTTGGGAGGATAAAAACAGTCCCTTTCAAGGAGGCAGTAAGATTGACTAACACCGACTGAGTGAATATTTAGCAAAATGGGATTTAGGACTCTGTCAGTGCATATAACCCCACCTGTAGCCAGATAGCTCTCCGCTCGGCATAGGCTTCTGCACCTGGAGAAAGCTGTAACTGTATCAATTAAATAATAATTAAACATTCTTTGTACTTATTAGGGATGTGAATGGGTAACCGGGTAACCAGTTACCTGGTAAGCATCACTCATTAAGAGTGATGCTTACCGGGTACTGGTTAATCAGTACCCGGTGGGAGATGCTACCCCACGTGTTGGACAGCCAGCATCAGTAGCTGGCAGTCCCACGTGTAGAGGAGGGAAGTGGCAGCTGTTTTGCCCCACCCCAGGTGCTTGGGGCTGCTGGCCCCTGCTACTGTGTCTCCTCCCTATGCATGGAATCCCACTTAATCAGTTAACAGTTTCAACCTAAGGTTTACATCCCTAGTACTTATATAGCCCTATGAATGTGAGGATCTGATGTTCATGACACTGTACCCCTATCAAGAATGAGAATATTTCCCATTATTTACAAAAAAATAAATGGAGAAACAAAGATATTAAAATATTTTCAAAAACTAGAGCCTAAAGATAGACTCCAATATTCACATGCAGATAGCAGCCTGATTTTCAACAGTACTAACTTCCCAACAGCTCCCAGGAAGCTCAGCCCTTTTAAACAATCAAGCCATTGCCAACATAAGTATTTGGGCTCCCTTTTTTAAAGTACTGGCATAACACACATGCCCCAGTTCACACAGGAATCTGTTATAGAATTTTGTTTCCTGATTTCTATCTCTGTTAGCATCCAAGGAAGAAAACTCCAGCAGGGAGCCCATGGGAAGCCTTCGGTAATTGGGGCAGTTGAAACCCCCTTGAGGTGCACTGTCCCCATTTGTGCAAAGGGAGGAACATCACAGTCCTGGATGCTTGAAGGCAGACAAGAAGAATTAGAAAAGAAGTGTAGTCATTGTTTTGATTTATTTAGTTAACCTGAACTTGCTTATGTTACTTAGAATACTGAGTCCCTCAGCAGGATTCCTGTGCACTTTATTTGTGTTATCTACTGGCTCACACAGCACTTTCCAGACAATTGCAGTAGGAGGTTAATCCACTTTATAAAGAATAATCCATAGAGACAGAACTGTAAATACCCTGCTCTATCCTTCTTAGGATGATCACAGGTACACACAAACAGGATCTTTGAAAGCAGACAAGATAAGAAGCACCCTGTGCACTACACACTACAAAGGTTGGATTTGGCAAGTTTGTTTACACCAATTTTTATATTGTATAAAGGGCAGGGACAAAATCACAAATGCCACCAAGTGACTTTTTTAAAAAAAACTCATTCTGAAAAAAATATATAGGACATTGAAAGGTTGCTGCTAATTCATTTGGAACCCACTCCAAACAATTGTGTTAATTATAAGGGTGCATCTACATTGCACCCTTAGAAGCCATGCAATTTGAGCTACACAAATGGCGTACCTTATTTCGAGCTAATTTCAAAATAGCTTATTTCATAATTTGGTGCTGTCTATACAGCACAAAATTTCAAAATAAACCACTATTCCGAAACATTCCTTAATCCTCGTGGAACAAGGTTTACAGGGACATTGGAACAGTGAACCAACCCGTTATGTTTTATAATAACAGGCTTGTTCAAAAGAATAGCTATTTAGGGATATCAGAAGTATCCCGAAATAGTGCTATAGTGTAGACATACCATAAGACACTAGAGCAGGGGTCTGCAACCTATGGCTCTCAAGGCAAATGTGGCTTAGTGTGGAACCATATATGGCTTTTTGGTCATTCCCAAAATGCATGCAACTTTTAAAATTAAAATGAAAAATTAATTCAAAATTTTAAAAATGTGTAATTATTCATGTAGCTTGAATGCGTGCATGGACCTGAATTTGACTAGTTATGATGTACACTTCAAAGAAATGTGCATAAAAATGCAGCAGCAGAAGTCCCATTGAATAAAGTCTGTGAGTACAATGATCATTTCTGCTATTAGCAGGGCTTGACAAACTGCTATATCTACTCATCCGCGGCGAGTAGATTTCAGCCTGTCGCTCCGTAAGCTCCATTCACCGGCGCTTCACGCATGTGCAGTGCCGGTCTGGCACATGCACGGTGCGGGGCTGGCGAGTAGCTCTCGCCGGGGTTTGTCAAGCCCTGGCTATTAGTAATCATCATGTCAATTACTAATAATATTAAGTTGTATATTTTCAGTCATGCAAATGAGCATTCTTATACGGCTCTTTGTTGACCACTTGTTCTGAATTTTGATATAGTTTGGCTCTTCGGTTTGAAAAGGTTGGCGACCCTTGCACTAGACTAGAGCAACTCCATAAAGTTGCACGGGGCGGGGCGAAGGGGGGGAGGAGAGAGGTGGAGGTATAATTAGCACAAGGTTTTGAGCTTCTCTGATTTGAGCATGATATAGTGCCTGCCCCAAATTTAAAGCACTTACTCTTTTAGTGTAGAATATTTAAAAATTGAGACATTTAAATAATCTGCTCTTTCAGAAGATGGACGATTGAGAATTCAAGCTTTAATTTAAAAAATTTTATGTTTGGAATCCTTCTGTATGTGAAGAAAAGATTAACCAAAAGAAAATCAGTGTTACACTGTGGTCTTCCTGAATTGTATCCCTCTCTCCCTAGGCTGTTTTGTCACTTTCCGTCTTAGATGATAATCTATTTTGGTCAAAAACCACAGGTAAACTCTCCACCCTACTGAAGTCAATGAAAAAAACTATTGACTTCAAAAGGGCAGGATTTTATGCCATATCATTGTACAGCGCCTCACACAATAGAGATAGGGTTGCCAGGTGTCCGGTTTTGAACTGGACAGTCCAGCTTTCTGTACAGGAACCAAATTGCGAAAATATAAATGAGAAAATACAAATGTCCGGTATTTTCTAAATAAGATGTAATGTAGATTGTAATGTAATGTCAAGTGTGTCTGGTATTTTTGTTGAAACCATCTGGCAACTCTAATTAGGGCCTGGATTTATCTTGACAATACTACATAATATATAATAAAAACAGAAACAGACTGCCTAAGTCAATAGCTCTGAGCGTTATGAACTGCCTCTGTTTGTCTCACCTGAGGAGATAACTGGAACCTAAAGATGTCAATTTAAATACCAACAATGGTAACGATTTTACTGCTGCTCATTTAAGCAGACAGAACTAACAAATGTGGCAAATTAATCTGATGACAAACAGAGCTGATGACTATGTTTTAGTACATATAAAATATTAGCAGAAGAAGGTTTTGATCGAGGCTGTTTTAAAATGTTAGTAATGTGTATATTTTGATTTATGAACAGTTATAATCACAACCATTTCAGCTTATTCCACAAACATTGACATAACATTCGTTGACAAACTAATTGGTCATACTCTATCTTTACCCAGAATATTGTGGTTTCATCTCCATTATTTATTTTTTAGATTGAATGGGTTCTACTGCATATTTCTAATACTCTGTCTTTTGGATCTCCTGAGCACTAGGAAGCCAACTGGAGGGAAACTGTTCTGCTGGAGACTTTCTGAATGTTAGGAGATGTGCATAACAAGGTTTTCCTTAGCTGGCTATCCTGCAGAATTTGTCAAGTGTCTATTGCAGACTTCAACCCTTCCTATTGTGTCCCTTCCTTTCTTGCTTGCTTTCTACTTATACATTTTAAGGCCCCTAGTCAGCAAAACATTTAAGTATGTGTTTAAGATTAAACATAGGAATAATTTCTAGTCAAATAGACTAGAGCATATTCCAAAATACACGCTGTCAGGGTTGCAAATTCACTTAAAGCACATGCTTAAGAGCTTTGTTGAATCAGGGTCAAAGCACATACATTTTTAAACACACCTATTTTATGGAAGTCCAACAACTATCACTCCAGAATTTATCCTTATAAAATGTATATGAATAAAAATTAAGCACTTATAATGACAAGAAGTTATTGTAAGTCTCTAAGGTGCTGCAGGACCATTCGTTGTTTTTAAAGAAGTTATCGAGGCAAGAAGGGCCTGAAAATGACTGCCAAAGACTTAAAGCTGTGATGGAGACTGGCTGAGAGCCCAGGTGTGGATCTGGTCAGGCAGCAGGTTTAAGGGAACTGGGGAGTTGGTGAAGCAACCATAGCTTCTCTGTTTAGAATGCCACAGGCCAATTTAGATAGCTTGAACAGATGTTCAAGTTTTCTCAAGCTGGCTCTCAAAGCTGTTCAGGCTGCCAGGCTCTTGATGTTTCATGTGAAAAGATTTGGCTACTCAGCAGAGGATCATCACTGAAAGCTTCTTTGCCCAATACTCAAAGTTTTAAGAGTTCGTCTCTTTGGCTCTGAGGTCAGTCTCCCATCCTGGGCCCTCAAGTCCTTATAGATAAATACACTAGATAATAACCACCCCCAACTACTCAAACATCACCAAGAAATTCTCCATTAGAAATGTTTGTTAATTTAGAATGGTTACTCAAATGTATTTCAA